TTTTTCCCATTTGCCTTTCAAACTATATATATATAATAATATATATATATAATGTGCAATCAAATTTTTAATAGAGAACAATGTTATGCTGTTTAATAACCTAAATAATTTATTACACAAGCATTTACTGACAGTCTGGCTGGCTTCATCAGGTACAGGTTATAAACAATAAGACTACTGTTGAAATTTTGTGTTGTAAATTATTTAGGTTAGTCAATAAAATGCTACCTATGCTCTAATTTTAATGTTTTGACCTGATTGTCATGGCTTTACTTAGTCTGGTATAATAGTCTTAGTGTAAATAATAAGACGAAACTTGATGAAATAATGTAAACTGCAGGTAAAATAATAGGTAGGAATGTTCATACTATCGACGAGAGATATAAGTGTAATGTAATTAGCCAAGTTAAACAAATTATGGAAGATATTTCACACACATTAAACAATGAATTATGTTGTAAATAACTTGGGTACCGTACTTGCACGATTAAGCGCCCCGTTTGAATAAGTGACCCTCTTGAATAAGCACCCTTCCCAACATGAAAATTGTTTTAAGTGCCCCGTTTGAATAAGCGCCCTCTCAATTTTCAATAAGCGCCCTTTCAATTTTCAATAAGCGCCCCTCGATTCCTAAAAAAATTCAATCATACAGTACAATACAGTACATCACCAACTTAATTTTCTGCATCAACTACTCACATCTATCTTAGCATTGTCGGTCGGTCAGACCATCTATCCATCTGTCGGTCTATCAGTCTCTATTAATTTTAACATGGTTTTCAGTTTTGATGCATCTTTAGAATCCCATCCCATGATCCTGCTAATCTGAATTGGCAGATGGCGCTTACCACCACCACCAATACCACTATTAATTTTATCTGCTGTTGTGTAAATACCCCCAACATTCTTGTCATGAGCCAGCCATGCTCTCTCGACGATTACCTTTTCTTCACCAAAACCATTCGTTTATCACGCCCCCCTCAATTTCCACTCTCTTTTCATAAGTGCCCCATTTGAATAAGTGCCGCGTTTTATTAAACGCCCATCAGAAAGAGCCAAAAAACATGTTTAGCCTCCGGGTGCTTATTCGTACGGTGGACTCTGTCCATAAAAATGCAAGACAACACAATGCAGAAAAGCTTTTGTTCATAATTCAACTCATGTTTTAAACTCTACAGATAGTATTTTTTTTAATTGTTCTGTATATTATATTAAATACTGTACTCTTTCATGTATATTAAAAGTGCAACTAATTTTTGTGTTTTATATTATTACATTGTATTATTTTATGTAACTGTAGTTTAAGCATCAAGGGAACCAAATTTCATGTACACCTTATTTTGTGGTCATGGAAATAATGTTTATCATATAATCTTCTTATTTTTAATTATTTTCGTAATTTCTAGGATGCAAATCTAAAGACTAAACAGGAGGAAAATGAACGGATGATGAGTATGTTGTTAGGAGTTTGTAGACAAGAGCAGAAAATACACATTCACATTAGCCACACTCAAGAAAAAGTACTGCAGGTAAAATTTGCACTAATTATGGCGGTATGTGGGGGGGGGGGATGCAAGAAAAGCTTGCTCCCTAGTCTCCCCTTCCCCTATTGAAAATGTCCGCAGCAATACATTTATGCTCAAGTAGTTAAAAATCACCTCATATTACCTTGTGACCTAGTTACCCCTCACTATATCATCAAGTTCCCTCATTTTATCATTGAGTTCGCCACTTCCCCTTCAGAACCCCCGCCCCCATATCAGGCGCCAGATTTATCAAACAAGAAATCAGCTTAAATTTGTCTTGAGTCCATTTTTTTGCTTAACTCAAATTTATCCATATTGCTTAGCTTAAAAATTGCTTAAAATTAGAAAGTCGATTGTACGTTGGCGCCATCTAAGACGATTTTTAAGCCAAGATTTTGCTAAGATTGGGTAATAAATCAGCTTAAGATATTTATTAGGGACATCTTAACTTTTTTGGCTTAAGACATTTGCTAAGCTGAGATTGATAAATCCCGGGCCAGGACTCTAGTTAGACATGCCACTGCTATTATTAAAGCTGTCTATGTTTTACTTCGTTTCTTCTTGCGTGTGCTTTTTTTTTTGGGGGGCAATGGTTGATCTAGTAGGATGGAATGGTTGTAAGTTTTCTCTTACTGTTTTATACGCATGTTATGTGATATACACACACTGATCAAAAGCTCCTTTGGATGACCCTGTCACAAATGTGGGATTTTACTATTTCTGAGTAAACTAAAAATCTGTGTATGCACTGGATTAATTTTACTCAAGATGAAGATTAATTTTTACCTTGGGATTTAAAATATGCAGTCAATTTTAAGATAGTAAGATTTTGCGCAAACATGGTCAATGTAATCGTAGATACATTGTGTGAAAAGTATAGCGAAATATTATGATTTACTCAGGAAGATTTAACCAAGTCGCGCTGTTCAAAATTTTTACTTTCTATGTTCAAATGACGCATTACAGAATAAAAAATGTCAAATAAAATAGATTAAAATTGACAATTCAATATTAGAGTAAAATCATTAAAATTCCATAAAAGTATGATCAAAAGATGATTTACACAAAATTAAAAAGTCAATTAAATAAGATTAAAAATTTACAATTCAATATTACGTAAAACCATTAAAATTGACAAGTACAGGAAGTACAGTAGTAAATTATTTGTTAAAAGCAGTAGTGAAAAAATGTGTTTTCAACGGTGTTTTAAAAATCTCTAGACTACTGGCTTTCCTAATAAAAGGTGGCAGATCATTCCACAGCTATAGTTGCTGCATATTCAAATGCACGGTCACCTAGTGGGATTTTAGTGCGACAAACTGGATAACTTAGATTGTATCATCATTGCTACGGAGACTATAACAAGAATGAGGTTTCTTGGCGATAATTTTGGGCACATCACACAAATTTGTCACGTAGCATTTGATAGTGTTGACTGACAGAGATTAATGCATGGTGCTAACACTGATCAGGTTCATGGTTACGTTGATAAAAGATATTCCAATGTGAACATGGCTTTAAGCCGTATACGATGTAACCTGCAGTAATGCATTGAGGGTTGTAAATTTGCAGCTCTTCATTCCACAAGGGTCATAACGAGGACTAGTAAATTATTTAAGAATGTCACTTGTGCTCTCTCCGCACTATGAAAGTTTATGGGACGAATTTGTGTGTGGGCAGTAGCTTTAGAGCCCTAGGTTCTTTTGTCACTGAGGATCCCCAATGATCAGCTATTTTCCCAGCACTCACCAAACAGATGACTTATAACAGAGAATCGATAGTCCAAAAGTGATCAGTTTTCCACCTCCCAACAATGATAGCATGCCAAATCCATTATCCTCATTAAATGACTTGGTATACACATTACATTTTAATTGTTTGTTTCCATATCTAGGAATCACCTAAATCAAGTAGAATGGAGGCCAAGCCAACAGCACAAACATCAAAACTAGAGAACCTTAAGAACAGGGCTAAGCGATCATTACTTGATAGTTTCCTGTCAAAGGTAGTATATTTCATTTGGAATTTTTGGCTTTTATTTAACTTGATATATTTGTAATATAAAACTTAGACAGGAAATACTGTTTGCTCAATTATTTTTGAAATATAAATCTACAGAAATTGTTAAAAAATATGTTTATACTGGTCTCTCTGTAATTGAAAGCCTCCTCCAATAGACACATTCCGCAAGGTTTTTTTTTTTTTTTTTTACAGTGGGTATTACTTTGGAGAATTTCGAAAACATTATGTCTATTAAAGATCCACTTTTTTTTGGTCCCAAATAGACAAATTATTAATCCTAATTATGCTAATTAGAGGCCAAAGCTGCTAAAGACCATAGGAACCTCTGTCCCAAAAATGGTCTTTAATTGGAGTGAGACCAGTATTTAAATACAAAGCATACATTTTTTTATATCTTTAGATATTAAACAATTGAAACCTTGAATGAAAGAATGGAATATATTGACAAGTTAATTTTAAGCACTCATCAGTTGCCAGCTAGGACACTGTAATTATCAGGTGGACAATAGCTTGGCTTTGTGGTCATGCAACATTCAGCATCTTCTGCAAGGCCAGTCCTACTCTATTATTGATTTTCTTACATAATGCTTGTGACAGTGGCTATAATATTCTTCATTCCACACATTCACAGGGACGGAGTCGGAGTAACACGGAGAAGGCAGCATCAAAGAGTGCAGACGAGTCTGGTCTGGTCAACCCTCATTATAAACCTCATAGCAACTCTTTTAGCACTTTTGTGAGTTACTTTAATTTTGTTTGCTCATTATGTTTAAATATTGACAATATGATATCTTTTGTAGGAATATCCCAGTAATATTTATATATAGTTATATAGTTTGGCATAGTCATATATATACACAGTCATCCCACTCTGTCCAGTGACTACCCCTGCAGAGAGAGGCATCACCAACATCATCATCATTACGACTACAGTACATAAATTCTCTTTTCGCTTGTCACTATTATGATCAAAGTACAACTTGGGCACTTTCCGTGTATCGATGATGTGCGACCATTCTTTTGATGCTAAAATATTCTACAGGTTAACGATCGCATAATGTCAGTTCTGGCAAAAATAATGTCTATTGTTGGTAATTCCTTTTTATATTGATTTAAATTAGCAAGTAAATAATTTCCATAAGTGATGGTGACAGCACTTTTACAGTAGGTACTATATGACCCATGTTAGCAGCGACAGGTGGTGAATTGAGTAAACAGTCAGTCCATACTGTATTAATATTTTTAAAATATATTTTGTACACCTTTTTTAATTCAATTTATTTATAATGCAGTAATAACAATTTAATTTTAAATTATTTTTTTTAATAATTGAAATAAAATATTTTTTAAGGAACAGTTTTTAGATGTTACTACATATTTCATACAAATTTGTTGTTAACTAGACTGTATATTTATAAATAGGTTTGTTTAAAGTTTATATATATTGATTTTGTAAGCCTTCCGGCTGCATGTTTTATACATGAATGAATAAAAGCAATAACAAATAAAGATAACCCCTTTTCTACAATGTTTTGGGTGAAATCAAATTTATAAAAAATAGGCTCCCACTGTGATCATATGTCTACTACTATTTTTTTTTTTTTTTTTTTTTTTTGGGTGCTTTCCTTGAGGAGACACAATTATTGTGCAATTTCTAACTGAAACTCTTGGTCAGTGTTTTTTGGCATAATCATACAATAAGCTTTAAAACGTAAGCCACGCTTTCTGTGTTGCAATTGACATGAATAACCTTTAGCTTATTATGATGCAGTGGCTTTCCCATAATTCCTCTCTTTGCACTTTGAACTCTCAAACTGGATTTATTTTCACAACTTACAAGTGAGACGATAATTAAGTGTTTACTTACAAAAACAGTACCTAACATTTAAAAAATAATAATATATTTGACTAGTACATAGTGGACAATATAACAGAAATGTATACTGTTCATTGTACAAACCATGTCACAAAGATCTTATGATGTGATAATTGGAAATTACCCATCCTGATCAAAATACCGTAGATCTACTGGATGATGAGACCGTTTGAAATCTCCTGCCTTTGGTGAAAGTAGACCACAGGTTCTTTTAACAATACATTCTAAAGCATATATTATTGTTTTGGTAGAGCAATCAGTCTTCAAGTGAGTCACCCAAATCACCCACAAAAGCCATTCAAAGTTACTCACCTAATAAGACAGAAAGTAGAACACCGAAGAAAAGCCCATCTATGGAAAACAAGAACAATAGAAAAAAGCTAGACCTACGTGACGTTTCTGTCACGCCAATGCGCCCTCGAAGTAAAACACTTGGTGACTCACCGACGACACCGCCATTGTCAAGAAGACAGACCCCACCGGCTAGGAAGGAATTTACCTCACCAAGACCAGTGATTCACAGGTACGGTGGAACGCCTGTGCCTTTGAGCAGGTAAGTCATTTGATAGTTGATAATACTGTTATAATGGTTTAAAGAATTTGGATAGATTTAATCATGTATATTGTAAACCATTTTATTTTTATGATCCTAAATTTCTTTAATGCATTTTAACCTTGAAAATAAATCAGAATATTTTGGCTTTCTCTTTATAGCAAAAGTATTTGAAACTAATTTTTATACAGGTAGTGAAAGCATTTCTTATCTGGATTATAAATTTAGAAAAATAGAGACAAACGAAGAAAATTTAGTGGAATATTTTGAATAATAACTGTAGTAACTAACAGTATATTTTAAAATTGTGAGTAAAATTCTAAAAAGATATTGTTAATATGTTGAACTACACTCCAGTAGTCGGACATATGACCATATGTCGGGAGTATAAGTTGAAAGTGTGATGCCCTCTATTTTTGCTGTATCTCCTTGTAATTCTCAGATATTCTAAAATTACGAACACGTTCAGCTAACTTCAACTGTATGATGTTCATTTTCATTTATTTCAATGCATTTTATACCGTTTCAATAGTGATATTTCAAATATTTGGAAATATAAAGGTCATACAGACTAAAGGGTTTACAGTAAATATTATTTTTTTTTATAACTTTTACAAGAGATAGCACTTTGTAACTAATAAATAACATTATTCCCTGAAGCTTTAACCACACTGTCGGTCAGTATCTGGTTTCTGCTGTGGCATTTTCACAGTGTGACTGAGTAGATACAATGTTCACGTTAGGCTCAATAAAATATTTATTAGTTAATCACCCTTGTATGCATGCCTTCTATGGTACTGAAAATTTTTTATTTTTTATTTTTTTTATTAAATAGTCAGTAGATATTGTTTGTATTATTTTAATCATATTTTACTTTGAATATCAATGCATCAGCAAACAACCCAAGGGTGATATTTGGCTTCAGCAAA